ATAGTCTTGTTTCTCTACACACACACAATAGAGAGCAGGGCCTTCCTTCCCCTGTACTGCCACAGTGCCTAGCCCAGAGTCCTCTCCTAATACCGACTTCAAGGAATTTTGAATATGAACCCCTGTGGGAAGACACAAGTCACCCATCCCACCCCACGCAAACCATGGTAGCTACTGTCCAACCATTTGTTCACATATGAATATACAGAAGCCTCAAATAATTAATTGATCTCCCCCACCCACCAATCCAGATCTTGTTTTAATTAATTGGTAAAATAAATGATACACCTGAGAGCTTTGGGATCCACACTACACCACTAGTTCACAGGTCTGACTGCAAAGACCTTTCCTATTAATGCCCACATTGACTAGCTGATGCCTTTCACACTGTGTTTCTAAAAAACATTAAATGCAGAGCCCAGCTCCTTTGTTATAAACCAAGAGGGCTTTTCTGTGTAGTTTCAGAATCGCTGGCATTCCCACTGGGAACAGAATGGGCTTCACCCTCTCCTCATGACTAAGCCCAGAGAATGTGTGGTGAAGGTCTGAGACTTTTTAACCTGAGTAGTATTCCACCCATTGTCCCTGGAAGCTTGGGTTAGCACATGATTACAATGTGAGGTAACCTGGTGTAAGCTGTCTCCACCGCTATACTCAGGAACATTAGGGGGCACTTTAACACAGGCTGTGTTGTACACAGCCCCCAGCTTCCTAAATTTGTAAGTCTGGTGGGCCTCATCTTTTCCCCAAACAGAATGTTAAGATCTCCAGTGTTCCATCCTTTGCCAAGCACTGCCAGCAAGCACTGCCTTTAACACTAAACTGGCACTGTTGACCTATCACGACATGTAATGGGAAATGGGAGTTGCTTTTTCAGTGATGGGAATAGAATACATGGATACATTTTCTAACCCTGTGTGGCAAAGAAGTGCAGGGAAAGAAGTTCACAAACGGGCCTCAAAAGCGAAGGGCATATAGGCTTTGGAATGAGAAAGATGTGTTCAGACTTGGTGTTTTGAACCCAAACGCCTTGAACAAGTCATACATTTCTGTGAGCCTTTTCTCTCATCTGCCAAGTGGGAATAAGACCAGCTCCCTCAACACTGTAGTGAAAATTGTACATAAAACCCTTGGCATACTGCTTCAATGTAGTAGACACTCAATAAATGTTAGTTACTATTTTTTATTATCCAAGAGTTTCAACTGGCTAGAGTTAAAAAGATGTTTATCCTATGAGGCTGTTCAATGCCTGTAAAGGTTACTTAGTGAGTAGGAAAGGTTAAAGCACTGAAGTGGAAGGATGTTGCCCCTGCCCCCAGTCCCTTACAGCCCCAACAGACACACAGGCACCATCCCCATCCCCCATTCCCCTGAAAACCCATATGCCTATCTGTCCAGGTCTCTAACCCTGCTTGATGAAAACTCCTGTGGTCTCAATGGTTTTCAGTACTTAGGAATGGCAGCATGAGGCCTCAGAGAACAACGCACATCCCACTAGAAAAGAAGAGGGTCACGAGTAACCTCTACATCTTCTTGTCTTCGGCAATGTATGGGCTCCCATGTGCTGGGATCCCAGTCTGAGGACAAGAAATGACTCGAAGGTCATGGATGGACCTCACTGTCCAATGTGAAAGCTCTTGCAGCACCTTCAGACCCCACAACTTCTTCTCAAAGAGATCACCATCTCCAACGGTAACAGGCGTGCCACCAGCCTCACTGGGAGGGATCTTGTGTTCCAGGAGCACCATTAATTCCTCTATCTGGTAAGCAAAGGCGGCAACTTGGAGTAGAAGCATATGTATTGCTTGATGGAAGTCGCCTTCAGCTGGAGTAAAGTGCACCCGCTGGTCTTCTAAAAGCCTGGCCAACATGACATGGAAGGTGCGGTAAGCTTGAAGGCTCTCTTGGAGCCGCTCTGCCTCACTCAGCTCGCCCCACCGATCTGTGCTGGCTGCTGGCACCCCATCCACGGAGTCCAGGTTTATGTTCTCGCTCAGGCCCTGATGCTTCATCTGGCCAAGGATACAGAAAAAACATCACATCTTCAGTGATTACCCAATATTCCCTAAATCTCACACAAAATCTTACTCGCCGCCCCCTCCATGACCATGGTCAAGGATCCAGACTAAATAAAATAAAATGTCTAGAATAGGAACTCTTCATTTGGGGTCCAGGACTGGACTATAGGACGATCCTCCTCGTCCTGAATCATACTACTTTTGACTACCTGCTCATTTTTCTTGAATCTGCTTCTATTCAGTTCTTAAGATTGAAAACCACTGGTTTAGAGTAACTTTCCCTTCCCGCTTCCCACTCACTCCTGGGAACTGCAGCATATCGAGCGTACTGGAGGTTTAGGCATTGTGAACATACTTGAAGACGCTGGCCACACCTAGGATGCCCTAGAATTTTCCTAACTACCCCTTCCTTCATTGTCCCCTTCAGTGGTGAGACCAATGAATGGTGATTTTTGACTGGTGGGGCTGTATGAAATAGACCATTTCTCAGAGAACCTAAGCTCAGAACTCTGCACCGGGCCTGGAGTGTTTCTCCAGCAGGCCCTAGGTAGAGGCGGATGGGGATCTCCTTGTCAGAGAACCAACCTGGAAACTCCATGGTTAGCTCCTTGATTTGACACTTCCCAAGTCCCCAGTGATTCTTCTAGGGGACCCTTTTGATAGTATAGGTGACCTACTTAGACAAAGGAACACTTTTGATGTACATAATTAAAAAGTGGGTGGCGAATCCTTTGTGAAATAGGTTGGCTTTACACTGCTCTTCTCCCAATTCCATAAACCTCACTCTGCTTTTTGTTTACATAGCTCAAAAATTCAGAACAACGTATATGAAAAACTCAGACATAGAGGGACCATGGAATCTACTGGCAGAATTCACATTGTGGGCAATTAATTAGGAACAGCCTCCCAAGACATGCAGCCAGTCCCACCTAGAACTCCATGTATATTTTCTTATTCAAGGAACAACTTTCTCCTAACAGCCTAGAGAAAGAGGTAAGGGCACATGAATTTCCTTAAGGGAAGAGGCCATGCCAAATGGTACGTGTCCATATATGAATGCCTGTATGATAAGGCTGTCATGATTGGTATGGAACTGGATCAGAAGATATGAAGTAAAAACAGACAAAAGAAAAATAGGCAACTTACATAAGATTCCATAAGAGCAGTCAGGTCTGAACCAATCTTCCTCGCTAGCCAGATAGAGCGGCTACAGAGGTCCCGGCGGTGAGAGGTCAGCGGTGAATGCGTTGCGAAAGCCATTCCCTAACTCAACTGTCCCAGGAAAGTGAGCTGGGTTTGCTTCTGTCTACACCGGTCCAAATAAGAAATGTGACTCTCAGACTAAATCCACTGGGCATTCTCTACTAATGGGATTGTGCACCCCACCCCCACCCTCTGCCTGACTCAGAGGTGGCAGCAAATTCCTGGCTGTGGATTTTTGTGCCTGTGGAATCAAAGGCCCCTTTTTAATCAGCCTTTTTTCCTGCAGCGTCTGCCTCCATCTCTCCCCCCACTCAAGTGCCCAGCCTACTTGTTTTCATGTCATTGTTTTGCCTTTGCACTTAGCAACAAGGTCATTATCACACTAATTCTCATGACACCCCTGCCTAACATAATCTATGTTATATACACATGTAATCAGTCATCTTATTGTCACCTGCCTTGTTCTCCCATATCCTTTTCTTTCTTTTTGTAGCCTGGTAGTCAATAATATTAAGTTATTATTATCAATACAGCTGCCATTTACTAAGGAGCTCCCTGGGCAAGACACTGTGCTAAAGGCTTTAGAACTTTTATTTGATCTTTAGAATAATTCTATGAGATAAATATTATTTTCCCCATTCTAATAAGAAATCAAAACTTAAAAGAAATTGATGTGTACAAAAACCAATAACTAAGCACAAAATTTAAATGTAGGCCTTTGATTCTACATCTGTTTCTCACACTGACTTTCCAGTTTCATTCTTTGGGTTGTTCACATTTTGTTTGGAAGCGAAGTTTATGTGAGATAGGTCCTTTTAAAAAACAGCATTTTTTCAACTCCAATCCTTTTACTTTGTGTTTAAATGTTAGTGTAATTTACAATTGATTAAAAATCAGGTAGGGAAACATCACTGTTCTCAGTCATGATGCCTCCCTCAGTAACAGGATGAGGAAGGTACTGTTTTGACCTGTTCTCTTCCAAAAGACAGGAAATATCCAATTCTGACTTGGTAACATTTCTGAGGCAGTGTCTCTCAAGTGACAACATGCTTTTCTTTTTGTTCCTATCCCATTCATACCACTTTGCTTCTCAACAAAATGAGAATGAGCAGGGCTTTTAAATGCGGGCAGGAGTTTGAAAGTGCTTGCAGAGTTGTGTTCTCTTACACTTGACTCAACAGGTTAGAGGATGATGCTAAACTGGGTAGAGTTGCAAGTTTCATCCCCAAATCCAAATGCACCAATTAATTTTTACTATTTCATATAGGCATTGCCTCTAAACTGAAACACATGCTTCTCAGGGGCAAATTTCCATCAGTAAACAATAAAGAGCAATACAAGGGAGAAAGACACAAGGACTGGGTAGCTGTCAAAGTGATTCTTTTTTTTTTTGCAAAGTTAGTACTTGTCATGGACAATGAGTTTTGTGAAGAAGCATTGATAGTAAATGCTTTCAAAATGTTGTCATTGTGGAGTGAAATTAACCCCACAGCATCCTTCTTGTTCTAACAGATTAATATGGCCACCTTTCTTAGAATTAGAAGTCTGTCTAAACATGGGAGGTTGGTCTAACTTTGCCAATGACTGTAGAATAATATGACATCTCAGCATTAGAAATCAAGAACTGAATCAAAAGTTAACTACCTCTCAGCAAGAGCAAACAATAGTATCTGCCACATAAAACCTATGCTGAGGGCACCTGGTCTTCTCATTTAGCAGCGTCAGTTATTTCACCTCTAGGATAACTGTAACTCAGTACAATCAAGGAAGACAAGTTGCTTCCATGAAGATAACTTTTATTTTTCTTCTGTACATATTTATTTTGGATATGCCTTACCTAGATTAAGAGAAAACAACGATTTGAAAAGCAGAGTATCCCTTTTATTATAATTTCTTTTTACATAACCTTTTCAACCTAGATTCAGGTTAACTACCTGTCTCTCCCATCAGAGAAGGGTCCTGCACATTACAACAGGCAAAAAAGGCTTTTAGGAAATGTTTTAAATTGATCCATTACAATTTTTCAATTTTCTTGAGTACACTTGAAAGTGGGAAAAAGACAGAAGGAAAAATGGTACTTCAAACAACCAGATTATAATAATCTTAGTTAGGTTTAGTACACTCTAATTTTTCTCCAAACAGGTACAAAGGAGGTTCAAGTGCTCTATATGGGTGCTTTTCCTTATCTTATTTACTTACTTTTTTTTCAGTCCAGTAATCCTGGCCAGTGTTTATCTAAACTTCTGAAGCATATTAAGTCTCAGGCAAAATAAGCCTGGGCAACCACAAACAATGGGGAAGCACATCTCCCAGAAATAATACTTGTGTCTCATCTACATTTTCAGAATTTGGAAGTGCCAATTTGAGATGGAGAATATGCAGTGAGAAGGTTATCAAAAGGTAACACAATTTGACTAAGAGTACAAAATGCAGAATTTTAAGATTAAAAGAGCTCCTTGGAAGGACAATGAAGTAAACAGCATGAGCAGAAAGGAAAAGGGAAGAGGGCCTAGGAGAGTTTCCTTATGCCCAGTCCACTATGCTAGCATCCCTTTCTCAAAGGAGAAGTCCATGAAAAGTGCTTTAAATTTTATTGCAAACTGCTACAATCATTTATTGAAGCAAACTGTAGGTAAATGGTAGCTATGAAAGGGACCCATAAAAGGAGAAAGAACAAAGTTTCTAATTGTTAGAACTAATTTGTTGCTTCTGGCAGGGAGAGGAGGGTGATATAAGGCAGAACATATTTTCCCGCATCTCATAGTTTTTTTAAAAAAATGCAGTTTGCTTTTGTGTAGGTGGGTAAAATATCTGATGACCTACCACTGCAAATGCATGGAGACAAAGGATAAGATAAATGTGACAAAGACAGAAGGTAAGTTGTGGAGTAGAGATGCTAGCTAGTGGGACAGTACCAAAGGGACTTACACTGGAGTGGAACAACTTTGCTGTAAACCCATCCAATCCATCTCAACCTACCCAAGTCAACTCCAAGTCCTTACTGTGGGTGGGAAAGCATATTCTACATCTCTTCTATCCTTATTCCATTTTCTACCCCCACATTAGAGGGATGGCAACTCTGCTACACTCTGGAAAAAAAACAATAGTGCATTGAAGACTGTTCACTGTAGGTGTCTGACTCCCTATTCTCCAGCATCCCAACCACTGACACTAGTGGGTGTGAAGTAAGCCTCTTTCAGAAATGACATTGTTACCCTTTCTGGGAAAAAATAAATCAAAGAGAAAACTGATAAACTTTGTAGTTTTAGTGTTTGTGAAAAACAAGCTGTTCCTTATTTGGCTCTCAGCAAAACTTCATTCTTTCCAACAGTCATCATACATTTCTGACAAACAATGAATAGGGCGAGCCTTCAATTCCAGCTTCTGAGGTACACAGGATAGAAATAGCCCTTCTAATTATTCAAAGAGGAGTCAAAATAGGTTTTCAGTCCTCTGGGAGTTAGGAACTTGAACAAAAACACTAGTCTCCTCCATGGACAGTAATAAGCAATCCACCCCATGAAAATCCCTCTTTCAAGGAAATGGTAATTCCCAGAATTCCAGGTAAAAGCCAAGGCCATTATTATACAGATTATTAACTTTGTCTATTGAAGCCTTTCCCTTTTCTGAAGTGTTAATAAAGGGAAACTAAACAGCACAATTTTCTTTGACCTAAAACTGTACGCACATAGCTCATAGACTATTCCTTCACTAATAGCAGTGTCCTTCGCTAATCGGGAGCTGGAATGAACCAACAATAAAGCAAAAAAGACAAACTTAAAGCAAGGGGCCAGAGTTGGGCCAATAGGGAAGGTATGTAAAAGATGGGGACAAAAAATAAATTCACAAGAGAAAACCTTTTCTATGTAATTCAGACCCTAAACAATCCTTCCTCATCCCCCAAAACTCCCAAATCTCAATGCTCTAAAAACTCAGAGCACTAATAACCACAAACCTAACATCCTTCCCTAAAAGGCTTCCGAAAAAGCACTAGGCTACTGTAGTGATTTTATTAGTGCTGAGGACCAGCTTTCTTAAAAGGCCACTGGAGAGCTATGATTTTAGAGGCTGGCTATGCTTCTTCAACCTTATATCTTGCCTTCAAAACTACCTCTTATGGAAAGGACCCCATGTCAAAATAATCTAATCTCTCCCAGCCCCACAAAATATAGCAACGAATAAAAAAAAAAAATCAGACTTTCCATTAATAAATAAGGAATCTCAGGTTCCACAACACAAAAACACACACGTTAAAAGTGCAAATTTCTGCCATTAGTCTGGGACTTTTCTCATGTCTCACTGATACAGAGCCTTGTCTTATGGTCAGAGAGACCAGGCAGAGGGCAGCCCCCTCCCTGTTGGGAGCCTGCTTCCAAGCAAGTGAGCACCATTGAGAACCATATGGATGTGTTGGGAGGGGGACTGAGGTGCTGGGGTCAAAGAGGACGGAGTGGTCCCCATGTAGCCTTCCTTTCCGAAACCCAGTGGGTAATGGAGGAAATGGGGGTGAGAGATGTACGCTGTTTTAACAGCTCACCCTGCTAAGGGGCCCTAAAGTGCCAAGTCAAGCTGCCAGCCTCCAGAGAAGAGAATGATATGATACTTTAAGAATATCTGTGCTGCAGTGAGTAGAAGCCAGAACCACAGGGCAGCAGTAAAGGAGAAGGGCTTTCGAGGACAGTAATACACTAGCAGGAGTTAAAAGCTGATCCAGAGCACATCAGTTACAGGTTGGAAAAGGGGATCTGCTGCTGAGCAGGAAGTCTGCCTGGCTGGAACAGAGTATGCGGATAATGCTTACTTTAAAAGCTTCTTCTTTTTGTCTACCTTCTGGTAAAGGCAGTTATCAATTTTGTAAAGGGGACAACAGAGGGAAAAGAGGGGATAGATTTATATGTGTGTGCTGTGATCCAAAATGGAAAGAGCAGGCCCTTCAGTTATTTTACTAGATTTTAAATGCTTTAAATTTTTTTTGTCCTTTTTATCTTTTAAATACAAAGTCTGAGCTGTCCCAGTGCCCAAAGTCTTCCTTTCCACTAAGGTCCAGTAGAGTCTGAATCTTCAATCAGAACCTCTGTGGTAGCACCGAGTATATCCGAGTTCATGACAAGCCCTTCAGTGCCCCCAGTGCTGCCACTTCCCACAAAGATCTTCCCATCAGCCATCAGGCTCACCCGTTCTGTGCCACTACAGTAAGACTTTGACATCCCTTCAGCTTCTAGCAGGAGGCACTCTCCAGAGGTGGAGTTTCCCAAGGGCTCAGGAAGAAGAGGAAGACCCTGACCATCTGTAGGTTGTGTCAGGGACTCTGGATTAGTGCCCAGGATATCTGTGCTGGTGATGAGGGCGCCTGCATTGGCAGCCAGAGCCTCGGCAATCAGCACCTCAGGGTGGCTTTTTGCTTTGTGTGCCACTACGCTGTCTTTCTTCTCAAATTTTTTGCCACAGATATTGCAAGAGAACTGGTAGAAGGAGTCTGCATCATGCTTCTTCATGTGCCAATTAAGGGATGCCTTTTGCCGACAAGTAAATCCACAGATCTCGCATCTAAGGAGAGTAGAAGAAAAAAGGCTGATCAAATAGAGAAATATAGAGACTTCTTATTCAGGGTGAGAACTCAGAGGCAACATACACAAGCAACAGCCAGTAGCATACTTCTTGTGAAAGATTAAGAAAAGTTGCTGGACAGAAAACTAATCTGATTTTTTCCTTCTGTATGGAAAATAGAGGAAACAGTAGAAAAAGGGTCACTGAGTAGGCTCCCCTGATCACCGCCCACTCTAATCTGGTAGAACAGCAGTAGCAGCTGAGATGTTTGTAAAGGGGCTAACCCTCACATGGCCATAGTTCTTACCAGACCATCGTCAGTAAATACTCACTGTAATGGCTTCTCGCCAGTGTGAATCATCCGGTGCACTGCCAGATTGTGGGAACTCTTGAAAGCCCGAGCACAGTATTCACAGATATAATCCCTTTGATCTAAGAAGAAAAAAATGGTTAGGCTTTCATTTAGAATCTCTCTCAGTATTTTTTCCTAGCTTACAATGAGCAGGCATATTTTTCAGGCAGATCAATTTAGTGTAAAAGTAATAGTGTTTAGGGGTCAAAGAGGACGGAGTGGTCCCCATGTAGCCTTCCTTTCCGAAACCCAGTGGGTAATGGAGGAAATGGGGGTGAGAGATGTACGCTGTTTTAACAGCTCACCCTGCTAAGGGGCCCTAAAGTGCCAAGTCAAGCTGCCAGCCTCCAGAGAAGAGAATGATATGATACTTTAAGAATATCTGTGCTGCAGTGAGTAGAAGCCAGAACCACAGGGCAGCAGTAAAGGAGAAGGGCTTTCGAGGACAGTAATACACTAGCAGGAGTTAAAAGCTGATCCAGAGCACATCAGTTACAGGTTGGAAAAGGGGATCTGCTGCTGAGCAGGAAGTCTGCCTGGCTGGAACAGAGTATGCGGATAATGCTTACTTTAAAAGCTTCTTCTTTTTGTCTACCTTCTGGTAAAGGCAGTTATCAATTTTGTAAAGGGGACAACAGAGGGAAAAGAGGGGATAGATTTATATGTGTGTGCTGTGATCCAAAATGGAAAGAGCAGGCCCTTCAGTTATTTTACTAGATTTTAAATGCTTTAAATTTTTTTTGTCCTTTTTATCTTTTAAATACAAAGTCTGAGCTGTCCCAGTGCCCAAAGTCTTCCTTTCCACTAAGGTCCAGTAGAGTCTGAATCTTCAATCAGAACCTCTGTGGTAGCACCGAGTATATCCGAGTTCATGACAAGCCCTTCAGTGCCCCCAGTGCTGCCACTTCCCACAAAGATCTTCCCATCAGCCATCAGGCTCACCCGTTCTGTGCCACTACAGTAAGACTTTGACATCCCTTCAGCTTCTAGCAGGAGGCACTCTCCAGAGGTGGAGTTTCCCAAGGGCTCAGGAAGAAGAGGAAGACCCTGACCATCTGTAGGTTGTGTCAGGGACTCTGGATTAGTGCCCAGGATATCTGTGCTGGTGATGAGGGCGCCTGCATTGGCAGCCAGAGCCTCGGCAATCAGCACCTCAGGGTGGCTTTTTGCTTTGTGTGCCACTACGCTGTCTTTCTTCTCAAATTTTTTGCCACAGATATTGCAAGAGAACTGGTAGAAGGAGTCTGCATCATGCTTCTTCATGTGCCAATTAAGGGATGCCTTTTGCCGACAAGTAAATCCACAGATCTCGCATCTAAGGAGAGTAGAAGAAAAAAGGCTGATCAAAGAGAAATATAGAGACTTCTTATTCAGGGTGAGAACTCAGAGGCAACATACACAAGCAACAGCCAGTAGCATACTTCTTGTGAAAGATTAAGAAAAGTTGCTGGACAGAAAACTAATCTGATTTTTTCCTTCTGTATGGAAAATAGAGGAAACAGTAGAAAAAGGGTCACTGAGTAGGCTCCCCTGATCACCGCCCACTCTAATCTGGTAGAACAGCAGTAGCAGCTGAGATGTTTGTAAAGGGGCTAACCCTCACATGGCCATAGTTCTTACCAGACCATCGTCAGTAAATACTCACTGTAATGGCTTCTCGCCAGTGTGAATCATCCGGTGCACTGCCAGATTGTGGGAACTCTTGAAAGCCCGAGCACAATATTCACAGATATAATCCCTTTGATCTAAGAAGAAAAAAATGGTTAGGCTTTCATTTAGAATCTCTCTCAGTATTTTTTCCTAGCTTACAATGAGCAGGCATATTTTTCAGGCAGATCAATTTAGTGTAAAAGTAATACTGTTTTCAATTTATAAACACTTTGGATAAAATTCCTTAAATATTAGTTTTCATCACCCTTTGTTTTTAATCCATACATTCAGTAGCATAAGACCTTAAAAAAAAACCGCCCAGACAGATATATGAGAACTGGAATCCTGTTCTCATTTACCAGTAATCCACATCTTATATAAACTGCTTAGCAAGTAAACAACTACAATTTACACAGATTTTATTCTTTAAAACATTTTTTTTTCAGATTGTAGAAGCTGAATGATTACATATAAAGAACTTGACACTCAAACAACAAAATATGGCATTCTCTAGAAGAGAAGCGATCCACATTTAAACTGCTAATCTTATCTTCCACTTCAGGTTTAAAATATGTTACCAAAGATAAAACAATTTAAACTTCTCTCAAAAGATTCAAGTTCCTTCTATCAAATATATGCAAACAGTACCGGTACTTCTTCACCTTATTCTCCTACCCTACATCTTCTGCACCATTAAATAACCTCCCTCTTCCACAATCCCCCCAAATTTCACAGGATTTTTGATGAATTTGGTAACATGGTGTGGAATCTGAGGCAAAAAACCTTTGTTTTTAATTATTCCTTATCACTTGGTTCAGGATATATTTTTGTTGAATGAATGACCACTACATTTTCTATGCCTTTCAATTAAAATTATCAACCATCACAGTGAAAACACAATAAATTAAAAGGCAAACAATAGCCAATTTAATCCTATACTTCACCCCAAATAGTTTTAAAACAAGTATACAAGAAGAGCTAAGGTTTTCTCAAGTTTAAATGTAATTACAAATCACCTGGGGGTCTTATTAAATGAAGATGCTGACACAGCAGGCCTGAGGCTCTCTGTAGCACAGGTGACACCAATGCTTGTTGGTCTAGGTTCTCCATGATGAGTAGCAAAGTCTAGAAATGCACATTTCTAACCCAGGGATAACTCTTGTTATCTCCCAAGTCTTGTCCACTTTTCCAGCTCCATAGTAGCATGGCAAACCAAGGTGGGGCATCCATTTATTTAAATAAATTGCATTTTCAAAGTAAGTCTGTATGTACTAATTTAGAAGAGGAAAACTCTCTACACTAACATTACAAATAAATGATTAGCCAAATATAAATGAGTGGAGTGAATTTATTAAACAGTTTGTCAGAGCAGGCTTGTGGTACCTAATTAAAATTGTCTGAACTTGTTGTCAAGTCTGAAATACTTTTAGATAATTTAAATACTCTAAACTGCTTTTCTATGGGATAAAATAGTGTAACAGGGAGAAGGAGCAGAGAAATGGTAGCACCAAGCAAGATTAGAGTAGAAATAGCATTCTCTCTGAAGAAACATAATATAATGCAAATACTGCAGACTTTGTGAAGTATTTAAGACCTACATTCAAATCCTGTCTATTGAAAGTCCACCATGCCCCAGGCCCTGTGCAGCTGAGCAGCATCTCATCTCACCCTTACAATTCCCATGATATTGGTGTCATTATTACCCTTGTTTTACATATGAAGAAATTAGGTGACTTGCCTAAGTTACACATATAGTAAATGATGGAAAGGGTGTATACTTAGCATGACCTTGGGTAGGAGACACGCTATCTCTACAACTGGAACACCAAGTCATACCCTCTATGGTTGTTGAGAAGGTAACACTTGCATGCGCTCAAGCAGCTGTAAAACCCAGCCCAATTTGTCCAATTAGCTGCACTGCATTGAGATTCACTGGCTAAAAATAATGTGAATTTATTCTATAGTGTTATGAAGACATACAATTTCTCTCTGTGAGTCAATAGTGCCTCCAGGAGGTTCCATGTGAAATCAATAGCCAGCCGTTATGATTTCAATAGCAGAGGTCCCAGGAGCCATTCAGCAGTAACCACAGGCTATAGGCAAGCCCCTTTACCACTTGGAGTTTCTCTTCATACTCCTCCTCCTCACTTTCAGTCCATTAAGAGCTACTACAAGTATCTATCTAAAACAATTAGAAAATCCTGGTTCTGTTAAGAAATAGCTGTGTGACCACAGGCAAGTGACCACAGCCTCTGGCTTCTTAGCTGTAAAACAAGGCTAATACAGGCAAACTGGTGATGCAGACTTTGTGAAGTATTTAAGACCTACATTCAAATCCTGTCTATTGAAAGTCCACCATGCCCCAGGCCCTGTGCAGCTGAGCAGCATCTCGTCTCACCCTTACAATTCCCATGATATTGGTGTCATTATTACCCTTGTTTTACATATGAAGAAATTAGGTGACTTGCCTAAGTTACACATATAGTAAATGATGGAAAGGGTGTATACTTAGCATGACCTTGGGTAGGAGACACGCTATCTCTGCAACTGGAACACCAAGTCATACCCTCTATGGTTTTTGAGAAGGTAACACTTGCATGCGCTCAAGCAGCTGTAAAACCCAGCCCAATTTGTCCAATTAGCTGCACTGCATTGAGATTCACTGGCTAAAAATAATGTGAATTTATTCTATAGTGTTATGAAGACATACAATTTCTCTCTGTGAGTCAATAGTGCCTCCAGGAGGTTCCATGTGAAATCAATAGCCAGCCGTTATGATTTCAATAGCAGAGGTCCCAGGAGCCATTCAGCAGTAACCACAGGCTATAGGCAAGCCCCTTTACCACTTGGAGTTTCTCTTCATACTCCTCCTCCTCACTTTCAGTCCATTAAGAGCTACTACAAGTATCTATCTAAAACAATTAGAAAATCCTGGTTCTGTTAAGAAATAGCTGTGTGACCACAGGCAAGTGACCACAGCCTCTGGCTTCTTAGCTGTAAAACAAGGCTAATACAGGCAAACTGGTGATGCGGAATGGATAGACAAGCAGTAACATATGTAATGTATTTAGTCCATAGCTGACATAGAATATGTGCTGATACAAAATATAGACAAAGGTCCTTATATAGGTCTTAAAAGTTCTTAAAGGATAAAAATTAAAAAGCCTTGGTTTGTTCATCCCTTGTGAAATGTATATTCTATTCTATTTTATTTTCACACCTTTCTCCCACACTTGACTGTACTTTTAATATTTACATTAGAAAAAATACCACTACCAATCCACACCCTTAAAAGTACAGGGCATTTCACTACTCAACATTTTATTTTAGAAAGTACCTGTATGATGTTTGGCATGTCGCAGAAGTTGTTTCTGGAGCCTGAAGAGCCGCCCACAGGAGGGATGGGGACATACATATTTCTTCTTCAGCAAATGTTGATATTTAATGTGGTGCTAAAACAGTAAAAGAAAGTGAAGAGGGATAAAAATAAAACTTAAAAACTTCCTGAAAACTTGCTTCTTTGTACTAAGTACTAAGTCAAAACTGCTAAAAGAAAACAAAATACTTCACATATGGAAAGGGAGGGCAGTATAATAAAATGGTTAAGAACATAGGCTATAAAAACAGAAGCCTGGATTCCAATCCAAGTCTGTCATTCACTAGCAGTGTGATCTTAGGAAATGTACTTAAATACTGTAAGCTCCAGTTCTCATTTGTAAAGTAGAGATAATAACTCATAGTGTTGCTGTAGGGATAGACATCTCATACTGTATAGTGCTTAGCGCAGCAAACGGCACACAGCAAATAGCAGTAGTTATTTTTTTTAGTACAGTGACTGAAGTAATTTTATCTTTAAGGAAAGATTTTCTTGACATTATGTCAATGATAAAGCCTACACAAGTTCACAGACAATAAAGTCTGGTTAAGTGTGAGAACTAGCAACAGGACATAACCTAAAAGGCTGCCTATATAACAGCTTCACTGACCTGCAAATAGCGAGGGTGAGCAAGAACAGTTCCACATCCTTCCATCTCACAACGGACATACTGGATTGGAGGCTTTTTTCTATTATCAATATGCAGAGAAAAGTTAGCAACAGAAAAGAGGCAGTACACACAGTGAGTGGCCTCTGACTTAAACTGCACTACAAAGAACAGCTATTTTTACAGTATTAAGAAGTAAAATCTCTTCACTAGTATATAGTTTGCACAGAATTTATGTTAGAAATAATAAAAAACTGCCAAATGTTTAATAAAGAGTTTTTAAAAACAGCACAAACTAGTAACCCCCCAAAAGGTAAAGGAGTAATAAGAATTCTGGAAACTTTAAGATCCTGCAATGGAAATAAATAACCAGTAACTTAGCATCAAGGACATTAATGATGTTGCTTCTGTGAAATTTTTAAAAAGCCACTCCTGCAGGATAATTATGAAGGTTAAGTATGTGAGTAAAGTGCCTAAACACAGTAAACATTAGAAAACACAGGAGTAACAATTACCTCCTTTTGGGTAATCGTGGACTTTTGTCATCTTTTCGCCTTCTTCCTCTCCTATATAATTAAAGAACATTGTAACTGTTCACAGATTCTGGATTGAAGCTTCTAGAGTAAATGATGGCTAAAGAAATATACTCAAGACCAAAGAGTAGGTGACAGAAACAAAAGATAACCAGGATACATAAAGTTGAAGACGTATCTGGCAAACCAGATTTTACTTCCAAAAAAGTCTGTACCACAAGTTAAATACATACCTTTCATAAACTATGAGTTCATGAAGTTGTTTGTGAAAAGTCTATTACTTGTTTAACCAATTAAAAAAAAAAAGTAGAGTCATTATCTAAAATCCTGAAAATAAACTATACTCTACTTATAATAGAACCAACAAAACCATTAAACAATTTTTACAAATCTTATTTCTTTAATGAGAAATGACTATTAGAAAGTTTTTAATAAAGGTTACTATATCATCTCCTTTACTTGCCTTTCTTTTTAAGATCCACATTTGTCATACTTTTTCTTGATATCTCTACTCCCTCGGCATCCCTGGAGATACTGTCTTACCCACACGTTTGGGGGTCTTAAGAGTACTATTTTGAATTACTTTTCAAGCTTCTGAGAAGTCCTCCCCAATGAAATTGCCAGCTGCATGAGGCAGTAATATATATATATATGTCAACATCCCTTCTTATACTCCCACCCTTTTCCCACTAGGGGCTTAGAAATCTGTTAAGTTTCCATGTTTAGTAGTGAATTGCCTACTCACTTCCTAGGAGGTTCCTCATCCTCCCTAATTTCATTCTCTTCTTCTTTCACCTCTACCTCTACTTCCACTTTAATTTCTTTCTTCTCTTTCTCTTCTTTCACCTTCCCTGATTTTCTCCGTGGTTTTGGGGTTTCCCTGAAAATACAAATACTTGATTTCAACATTGATATCTAGCAAAACATCTTTCTAAGGAAAACTGTGACAACAGGGTAAAGCCTCAGGTCATCATTGATTTATTGTAAAACTATGATCTTCAGCTCATGAAATGTGATCTCCAGCCAACTGTTCCTGATATGAATACGAATGATATATATTTAAGGCCTAGGAGATGATCCCTGAGGCTTTTAATGTACTAACACCAAATCTGACTACAATTGTAAAGGAAAACAAGACAAAAGTATTCAGTCAATTCATGGTCTCTTGTGAAGATAAAACATGCAGACATAAAAATTTGGATATGATCAAAAAAAGTAATATAAATGGAGGAGGGGGCTGTGAAGGAGTAATGAGGTAAAATGTTATTAAACATGCAAAACACTTCATCATTAATTATGCATTTAAGTTAAGTGTATCCTGTTGACGGCAGCTACAAACGCAAAGCATCGAGGTTACACCTATGTGTTCAGCCTACTGGTTCTGGCAGTGGAAACAGGCATAGCAGCTGGGAAGCAGGAAACACCTCTTTCCTCCCCCCAGGCACCAGCACTGCTCTCCTGTGATCCCCAACATTGCTCCAGGGGCTGAGCAGCTCCAGAGAGTAGAGCTTCTGAGCACTAGAGGGTGCCACATACAAATATGGCACCCTCTAGTCAAAGGAAGCTGGTTCAAACCAAAATCCCACAAACACTGGAAAAAGGGTCAAGTGAAATAGAACTCATCAATCTTCCTGAAAGAGATTACAAAATAAAAATCATAAACATGCTCACAGAGGTACAGAAATATATTCAAGAACTCAGGAACAAATTCAGGCCAGAGATCCAATCATTACAGAATACAATGGAGGGATTTAAAAGCAGATTAGACATGGTGGAGGAGATGATAACTGAAATAGAAATTAGAGAAGAGGAATACAAAGAAGCTGAGGCACAGAGAGAAAAAAGAATCTCTAGGAATGAAAGAATATTGTGAGAACTGTGTGAGAATCTAAATGGAACAATATTTGTATATTAGGGGTATCAGAAGAAGAAGAAAGAGAAAAAGGGATAGAAAATGTCTTTGAGGAGGTAATTGCTGAAAACTTCCCCAATCTGGGAAAGGAAATAGTGTCTCAGGCCATGTAGGTGGCACAGATCTCCCAACACAAGGGACCCACAGAAGACAACATCAAGACATATAATAATTAAAATGCAAAGATCAAGGATAAGGACAGACTATTAAAAGCAGCCAGAGAGAGAAAAAAGATCACATACACAAAGGAAAACCAATCTGGCTATCATCAGACTTCTCAGCATAAACCTTACAGGCCAGAAGAGAGTGGCATGATATATTTAATACCATGAAGCAGAAGGGCCTCAAACCAAGAACACCCTACCTGGTAAGATTATCACTTAAATTTAAAGGAGGGATTAAACAATTTCCAGATAAGGAAAAGTTAAGAAAGAAAATTTACCTCCAACAAACCGTCTCTACAACGTATTCTGGAGGGACTGCTATAGATGGAAGCATTCCTAAGGCTAAATAGCTGTCACCAGAGGTAATAAAACCACAGTAAAGAAAGTAGAACAATTAATTACTAAGCAAATGTAAAATTAAATCAAGTACCCCCGAAGTCAGTGAACGGATAGATAAAGAACACAGAATATGATACTTAATATACAAAGAATGGAGAGAGGAGGAAGAAAAAGGAGGAGAAAAAAAGAACCTTTAGATTGTATTTGTAATAGCATACAAAGTGAGTTAAGTTAGAGTCTTAGATAGTAAGGAAGTTAACCTTGAACCTTTTGTAACCATGAATCTAAAGCCTGCAATGGCAATAAGTACATACCTATCGATAATCACATTAAATGTAAATGGTCTGAATGCACCAATCAAGACACAGAGTCACTGAATGGATAAAAAAAAACAAGACCCAACGATATGCTGCCTACAAGAGACCCACTTCAAACCCAAAGACATACACAGACTAAAAGTGAAGGGATGGAAAAAGATATTTCATGCAACTAAGAGGGAGAAAAAAGCAGGAGTTGCAGTACTTGTATCAGACAAAATAGACTTCAAATCAAAGAAAGTCACTAGAGACAAAGAAGGACATTATATAATGATAAAGAGATCAATCCAACAAGAGGATATAACCATTATAAATATTTATGCACCAAACACAGGAGCACCTACATGTGAAACAAATACTAAGAAAATTAAAAGTGGAAATAGAATGCAATGCATTCATTCTAGGAGACTTCAACACTCCACTCACTCCAAAGGACAGACCAACCAGACAGAAAATAAGTAAGGAGACAGAGGCACTGAACAACACATTAGAACAGATGGAACTAACAGACATCTACAGAATTCTAGACCCAAAAGCAGCAGAATACATTCTCCTCAAATGCACATGAACATTTTCAAGAATAGATCATATACGAGGCCACAAAAACAGCCTCAGTAAATTTAAAAAGATTGAAATTGTACAACCAGTTTCTCAGACCACAAAGGTATGAAACTAAAAATAAATTACATAAAGAAAATGAAAAAGCCCATGAACACAAGGAGGCTTAAAAACATGCTCCTAAATAACCAATGGATCAATAACCAAATAAAAACAGAGATTAAACAATACATGGAGACAAATGACAACAATAATTCAGCACCGTAAAATCTTTGGGATACAGTGAGGTTGTGCTAAGAGGGATGTATATTGCAATACAAGCCTACTTCAGGAAGAAGAACAATCCCATATGAACAGTCTAAACTCACAATTAACGAAACTAGAAAAATAAGAACAAAAGAGACCCAAAGTCAGTAGGAGGGACACGTAATAAAGATTAAAGCAGAAATAAATAAAATCGAGAACAAACAATAGGAAGAATCAGGGAAAGCAGGAGCTGGCTCTTTGTGAGAAAATAAACAAAACAGATAAAACCCTAGCCAGACTTATCAAGAAAAAAAGTCTACACACATAAACAGAATCAGAAATGAGAACGGAAAAATCACTACAGACACCACAGAAATACAAGGAATTATCAGAGTACTATGAAAAATCATATGCTAACAAACTGGATAACCTAGAAGAAGTGAACAACTTTCTAGAAAAATACCATCTTCCAAGGTTGACCCAGAAAGAAACAGAAAATCTGAACAGGCCAATTACCAGCAATGAAATTGAATTGGTAATCAAAAAACTACCTAAGAACAAAACCTGTACCAGATGGTTTCACCACTGAATTTTATCAAACATTTAGTGAAGACCTAATACCCATCCTCCTTAAAGTTTTCCAAAAAGTATGAGAAGCAAATACTTTCAAACTCATTGTATGAGAACAGCATTACTCTAATACCAAAACCAGGCAAAGACACCATAAAAAAAAAATTACCGACCAATATCCCTAATGAACATAGATGCAAAAATACTCAACAAAATATTAGCAAACCGAATTCAAAAATACATCAAAAGGATCATCCATCATGATCAAGTGGGATTTATTACAGGGATGTGAGGATGTTACAATATTTGAAAATCCATCAAATGTATCATCCACCACATCAACAAAAAGGAGGACAAAAACCACATGATCATCTCCATAGATGCCGAAAAAGCATACGACAAAATTCAGTATCTATTCATGATAAAATCTTTCAACAAAATGGGTATAATGTGCAAGTACCTAAACATAATAATGGTCATATATGACAAACCCACAGCCAACATATTTAACAGCGAGAAGCTGAAAGCCTTTCCTGTAATATCAGGAACAAGACAAGAATGCCCACTCTCCCCACGTTTATTCAACATATTTCTGGAGGGCCTTGCTATAGCAGCCAGACAATATAAAGAAATAAAATGCATCCAGACTGGTAAAGAAAAAGTTAAACTGTCCCTGTTTGCAGGTATTGTACATAAAAAACCCTAAAGAATCCATCCAAAATTACTAGATCTAACACTGGATTCAGCAAAGTTGTGAGATACAAAATCAGTATCCAGAAATCTATTGCATTCCTATACACTAATGATGAACTAGCAGAAAGAGAAATCAGGATAACAATTCCACTCACAACTACACCAAAAAGAATGAAATACTTAGAAATAAACCTAACCAAAAAAGTGAAAGACCTATATGCTGAAACCTAGAAGACACTTATGAGAGAAATTAAAGATACCAATAAATGGAAACACATCCCATGCTGATGGTATTGTCAAAATGGCCATCCTGCCTAAATCAATCTACAGATTCAGGCAATCCCTATCAAAATACCAACACTTTCTTCAACGAACTAGAGCAAATCATCCTAAAATTCATATGGAACCACAAAAGACCCTGAATAGCCAAAGCAATCCTGAGAAGGAAGAATAAAGTGGGAGGGATTACACTCCCCAACTTTAAGATCTACTACAAATCCACAGTAATCAAGACAATTTGGTACTTGCTCAAAAACAGAACCATAGACCAATGGAACAGACTAGAGAGCCCAGATATAAACTCAAGCATATGGTCAGGTAATATATGACAAAGGAGCCATGGACATACAATGGGGAAATGAAAGCCTCTTCAATAGCTGGTGTTGGCCAAACTAGACAGCTACATGCAAGAAAATGAAACTGGATTATTGTCTAACCCCATCCACAAAAGTGGATGGATTAAAGACTTGAATGTAAGTCATGAAACCATAAAACTCGTAGAAGATAACATAGGCAGAAGTCTCCTGAATATAAATATGAGCAACTTTTTCCTGAATGCATCTCCTTGAACAAGGGAAACAAAAGTAAAATGAACAAATGGGACTACATCAAACTAAAAAGCTTCTGTACAGCAAAGGACACCATCAACAGAATAAAAAGGCATCTTACAGTATGGGAAGATATATTTGTAAACAACATATCCAACAAGGGGTTAACACCCAAAATATATAAAGAACTCACACACCTGAACAACCAAAAAGCAAATAACCTGATTAAAAAATGGGCGGAGGATATGAACAGACACTTCTCCACAGAAATTCAGATGGCCAACAGGCACATGAAAAGATACTCCACATCACTAATTATCAGGTAAATGCAAATAAAAACCATGAGATATCACCTCACACCAGTTAGGATGGTAAGCATTGAAAAGACTAAGAACAACTAATGCTGGCGAGAATGCGGAGAAAGGGGAACCCTCCTACACTGCTGGTAGGAATGTAAGTTAGTTGAACCATTGTGGAAAGCAATGTGGATAGGTTCCTTAGAAAACTAAAAATAGAAATATCATTTGACAAGGGAATTCCACTCCTAGGAATTTACACAAAGAATACAACTTCTCAGATTTAAAAAGACACTTGCACCCCTATGTTTACTGCACTATTTAGAACAGCCAAGAGATGGAAGCAACCGTAGTGTCATCAGTAGATGAATGGATAAAGAAGATGTGATACATATACATGATGGAATACTATTCAGCTATAAGAAAGAAACAAATCCTACCATTTGCAACAACATGGATAGAGCTGGAGGATATTATGCTCAGTGAAATAAGCCAGGCAGAGAGAGAAATACCAAATGATTTCCCTCATTTATGGAGTATAACAACGAATGAAAACTGAAGGAACAAAACAGCAGCAGACTCACAAACTCCAAGAGGGGACTAGTGGTTACCAAAGGGGAGGAATGGGGGAGGGCGGGTGTGGAGAGAGGGAGAAGAGGATTGAAGGGTATTATGATTGGCATACATGGTGTGGTGGGGATCATGGGCAAGACAGTGTAGCAGAGAAGGCAAATAGTGACTCTGTGGCATCTTACTACACTGACGCACAGTGACTGCAGTGGGGTATGGGGATGGATTCAATAATATGGGTGAATGTAGTAACCACATTGATTTTATGTGAATTCTTCATAGGAGTGTATATCTATAATACCTTAATAAAAAATGTTAATTGTATCCTATTATTTTGGCAACAAGGTGAAATAAAAGCATGTACAAGTGCTTTCCTTTTTCTCACTGACACGTTTAGAGTAAAATCTGAGACATGCCTTTCTAAGTGCGGTTTGTAGGTCTCATCTCTTGGGTCATCTTTGAATGGTATTTCTTCTTCACTGATTAACATCTCTTCTTCCTCTTCTTCCTCATCACTACTAAGGAAACAAAGATTAGAAATTCTAGTTGTAAGGGTTGTATCTGACTGGATTTTACTTGGTAATTTATTTAGAGGTAGTCAAAGTTAACAATAAGGTTATCTAAAATTTTCACTCTTGTGCTCTAACTGGATTGCAATCTAGCTGCTTTATATAAATAATAATAAATGGACTTAAAAATACATAAATCCTAGATATGTTATCACTTCACTAAATAAAGGTAATGTGATGACTGCTCAATGGCACGAGATAAAACAAATTGACTTTACAATACTATGTCTATTAATCTCCTCTATCAAAAGTCCTATCAACAGACAAAACAAAAAGCCCCCCCAAAACATGATTTATCACAGAATAAACTGATAAAATTTCAAAACACTAGCTTACAACACTCCCATTTTACATTAGTGCCTAGCATGGAATAAGCAAGAACACAGAAATAACTCAAAACAGTTTCTGAACTAAATAACCAAAGATCACATGGTTAAAGCTCTAACCAAGAACAAAGTAGAACCTAAACTGAACACCAAACTGAAGTTAATTTCTATTTAACAACTCAAAATTCTTTCAAGCAGCAAACACTTCTGATCATTTAATGTAATTGTGCTCTATGATCCCAAGGGTTTAAATATAAAATAGGAAGTTTCTTACCTAATGCCACCTGGAAATGGATGCTCCTCTGCAACATCTGGAAAATAAAAACAAAACAAAACAAAACTTTTACCTATGTAGGTATTAGTATTTCTCCCCACAGCCAAGAGACTCAAACCAAATTACCACCTGGCATAATTAACACAAGAGTATGTGCAAACTGTCAAAAGGAACCCTTTACCACCACACTTGCCCTTGAAAGTTACGCTGTTCTGGTAAATGTTCGACATTAGACTGAAAATCTACAGGTAGTTGGTTATTAAATAACCATATTCTACTTGCACTGTACCATAACCAAGCTGATCTGTATTTGGTTCTGACTTGCAGATGAGCTGCAGGGAGCCAGTCTTGGACCTAGAGCTTCGGGTGTTCTCGGTGTCACGAAGCCTAGAGATAGAAGTTCTGCTACTACTGCGCCAGCCTCGGGTAGACCTAGTTGTAGTGACAGAAACTTCCTGAGGAAGGGTAGAATCGTCTTCTTCCTCTTTCTCTTCCTTGGGATCTAGACAAGAACACATACCATTCTTCTTAAGTTTATAGTTAACCAAGGACTACCTGTGTAAATCTACTGCCGTAAATACAATCAATGAAAAGAAAATAAATGTTTTTCCCCTCCACGGAAAAAAAACCCTCAGATATTTACTGAATAGAAACAAGATGAGAGGAAAATAAGATAAAACTTATCCTTACCGTCATCACTCTGGATAAAAAATCTTCATTCTGCAAAGCAGTAATTTTTTATTGCCTTACCTACAAAAGGTGGAATGCTAAGAGAAGTATGCAAAACACCTAATTCAAGTCATGGATTTCTAACCTCTAACCTGTAATGTAGTTACAAAAGAAACTACATTAAGTGAGTAGTCCCAGAAAGATGCCCAGAACTACAGAGGCATGAAAAAGAAAGAAATCAGAGGTCTAGATGGTTTAACAACCAAACAATGCTGGAAGGAATTGCTGAAGAGGAATTTCATAATAGGAATAACTTCCACTGACTCTATTCAATAGTTCTACTTAAAACTAAGCCACGAATTTGAATTAATATATATGGGCAAATCATGACAAAGGCCAGCTTCAGTGTTGCTCTATTTCAGCTGTCCTGTGAGATGCTGTGTGAAAGAACACACAGTATCTGCTTGTTATCCTATACTTCCCCATGCTTTAAAGGGTGAAGGAAATGAGGTAGGGTAGGGCCATCACCTAAGATAATAGATAATAAAAAGCTCAGCATTAGAAATTGACTCATACCTAGAGTAGATTATTACATAGATCTACGTATGTTAGTGTATCAAATATGATCTTATTTTGACTATGGAAGATTACTGTAGTATCTCAGAATGGAAAAAGCCCAACAGCACAAAATTTCAGGTCTTAACACCGATTCATCTGACTACACACATAAATATAAAAACAATTGCCTGTAAGGCAGATTCCACTATAAGCAGAGTTTAAACAGCCTAATAGAAAAATGACAGCCCAGGTAAAACATATGGCTTTCAAACATCTGAACAATAAAAAAAAGTCAATCCCCTCATAACAAGAGAAACACAAATGAAAATGGCAACATGATACTACTGTTCCCCTATCATACTGCAATGATCCTAATGTTTGGAAATATACAGTATTGGCCAGGCTATAGGGAAAACAACCTAATACAGATGACAGTATGTGCACTGGAAAAACCCTCTCCCTGAAGAACAATTTGGCAGTATGTATCAAAATCATAAATGCATACATGTAACACATATGAAGATATGCAGCATATATATGACAACATTACTTCCAGCAGAATATACAAGAAATTGGTTAAGTATCAGTCACTTCCAGGGAAGGTCCAAAAATATGTCCAGCAATTCCACCTTAGAGGTATCTACCCTAGGAAAAGAAACTGGCACATGGGGGTTCATTATACCATGTTTATAGTAGCTAAAGTAAGGAAACTACCTTCCATTAACTAGGAAGTGTTTAAATAAACTATGGTACATTATCAAGATGGAATAGTACATGGAGTTATCTGTAAAGAATGACATGGAATTACTGATAAAAACACTGTTAAATGGAAAAAAGATTCAAAACTATATAGACAGAATGGTATGATGTGCATTTCCTTTTTTTCCTTTCTGTTCATTACCTTTCTCATCCTTCTCCAACCTGAGCTAATTTAAATATCAAAATAATGATACCAGTAATAATAATAGGTCAGAATTAAAACTATCATAAAAACTATCTAGTCTAAGGACAATCCAATCAGTTTCGCCCATAAAACAACTGGAAGGTCAAAGAGGACAACTTATTTAAGATCACAAAGCTAGTTAAGCAGACCTAAAAATCTTATCTTCAGATAGCAATCAAGGATTTTTACATGTAGGTCATGGCTGCTTTTAAGAGTTTCTTCAAAGGGACCAATCCGATATTATCCACAAAATATTACAACATTAAATAACAGAAAATGATTTTACTAAATCCAATTATACTAATTTGGACTTTAAACCCACTCCATAACCTCTCATGCTCAATAAAGCTCTTTTCTTCTTCATGATTAAAGAACCGTATACCTAAACCTTATACTGTGGGATAAATGATGACAATTTGATGAAAATTGCTTATCCTTACAAATAAAGCCTCTCTTGTGGAATATAACACCTACCCCCCAAAACTCTAGCCTAAGAAGAAAAAAGGAATTTTCAGAGAGTGATGTCAGCAAAATGTTCTTTGACAGAAACTCACACACAAACCTGCCAGAATCTATTTTGTAAAAACCCTGGGAAACAAAGGTTCACAACAAACAAGTGAGTAATGGATCAAGAAAAGCATGAGTTAAACGAGACATTTAAGAAAGTATCTATCAAATCACTTGCTGGAAACGAACTAAAGGAAACAGAACCTTTAAAGACCACACAAGACAAAGTGTATGATTTTTTTAAAATATGCTGAAAGAGCTTATGGGTAAAACTGTAATATTTTCAGAATATCCCACCTGGCTTTAGTATATCTGTGTATCGACAGGTGTTCCTCAGGGGTGGACAGCAGTAGTTCACCTCTGTATCAATGGGTAATTACCTGGGCGACCAAGGGCTTATCTGAACCTGAGAGGTTAGGGGAAGGGTTTTGCTTACTTCTGCCTGAGCCAGAAAGAGAGAGCCCCAGACTGCAGTTTGTAAGCAATAAATGGGTTTTAAACTTTATTTCTCCTTTTGACTGATTTTGGTTTTAGAGTTATTATGACCTGGAATTTCCTCTCCCCAGAGTTACATCTGGAGGTAGTTGGCAGGATCTCTGAACCCGGTATCTGTCAAAATGGGTGCAACCTATGAGAAGATTGCCCCTAGAGATGGTGGGGAGATCCCGGAACCACCCATCAATGGTGGGGAGGCCCCAGTGGATGCAGCGGCACAGGGTGCAGCTTCACTTGTTATCCCCCTAGCTGTGGGGCTTTCAATTTGAGAGCCCCTAGTGGGGAATTGGGTCTAGGGTAAAGGTGGGGCCTTCTCCAGAACTGCGAAAGGGTGGAAACACCAGAAGCTGCAGAATTAGTCCTCCATGAGTTGGAAGACTGCTTGGAGACCTTAGGAGGCCGTGTAGCAGCTAGCACTGCAGGGTCTCTTTTCATCAAGATAGTGGAAAATATACAGGAAAGAGAGACAATTATTGAGAGGGTCAGTGAGAGAGAGGGACTTAGGTGGGAGAAAAGACACACTTCAGCATTACTTGGAGGACCTGGGTGATAACCTATAGGATACTGTTCAGGAAGAGAGACAGTTACTGAAAAGGCAGGTCACACTCCTAGAAGATTCCTTAGCAGCCAAGAGGGGGGAGGCGGCAGGAAAAGCAGCATTGCAGGAGGCCATGGGGGACAGGGAGGAAAGAGTAGTGCATTCAGTCCCAGAGATGGAGGAGGTGGCAGGGCCATGGGCCGATCTGCTACAGAGGCTACTGCTGGAGGTATCATCCTCTCCTGTTTTAAAGGCTGGCCCAGCTGTAATTAAGAAAATAAAACCAAAACAACCATAGGCTCCTCAGGGGGAGGAGCCACCCCCTCCCCAGGTTGTGGAGCACGCCATGATCCGTCCCTATACCCAGGATGAGCTGGTGGGCATAAGCTTCCAGTATAGGCAGAGGCCATCAGAAGGAATCTCTGCCTACATGGCTTTTACATCTCTGGGATATGGGGGTGGAAAACAGTTATGTCAGGTACTGAGATGGGTAGAATGGCTTTCCTGATGACTCTCCCTTTCCTGTGGCAGTGGCTGCAAAATGCCCATCACGCCTCAGGGAATCAGACACCCCTGGAATGGCTGACAGCTGCCGTCAGGGTAGTCTGGCCTAATCAGGATGATTTACCATATTTATCCAGTAGTTGGAAAACTGTATGCAGAGCTCCAACAGGAAATTGGGTATGAAAAATATCATCTATAGTATGGACCCCCAGGGCCCTGATGAGGTATTCACTGTAGGAATAAGAAATCTGGTGCTCCATACAGCTCCCCCATCTCTTTTTGGGTCCCTAGTCACTACTCTTGCCCTCCACATAGGGCAACCCCTAAGTGAGGCTACTCATACTTTAGCAGACCTGGAGGAGGTTGAAACAATAAGGAGATGGAAGGAAGTACCAGCTACGACTGAAAGCAGAGGTGCAAATGGCACCATGAAGGTCTCAAGGACCCAGATGTGGGTTGATTTGATAAAGGCTGGGGTAGTGAAAGAAAAACTTAATGGGCAGCCCAATAGAATCTTGTTAGAACTGCGGCACCAATTAAAGCCAGAGCAGCAGTTCCAGCCGCTGAGGTCCAGGACACGGAAACTAGAGTCAAGGCCTCATGCCCAACCTGTGTCCCTGCAAAACTTCCTGGGAGACAGTACTCAGGATTCGCCTGAGCCCTCACCCCAACAGGATGATTGGGCACTGTGGTTCGACTCGGGGCGGGGGGAGGGAGAGTCAAGGTCCCCACCTTGGGAAACACGGTGGAGACTGGAGGCCACATGTAGAATTAGCAATTCATTGGTTCCCCTGTGAATGTACATGGTGGACACAGGAGCTGAGTGTTCTCTGATTCATGGCAACCCTGAGCATTTTCCTGGGACCCCTGCTGTCATAGATGGCTATGGGAGTAAGGCAATTAGAGTGAAGAAAGCCCAAATCCCACTGGGGGTAATGCGTTTACTCACAAAGCAGTATAACTAAGTACATTCCTCCCATCCCTGAATATATTTTGGAGGTAGATATCATGCAGGGCCTGTGGTTACAAACCACTACAGATGGGTTCAATTTGAGGGTACATGTGGTAAAGGCAGTTCTAAGGGGACATGCTAAGCACCCACCTGTAACTCTGCCTTTACCTCAGCAGGTGACAAATACTAATAAGCAATATAAATTGCCTGGGGGGCACAAAGAAATTGGAAAAACTCTACAGGAGTTGGAGAAGGTGGGCATCATAAAGCCCACTCATAGTCTTTTTAGTTCCCCAGTGTGGCCAGTGAAAAAGCCAGATGGATCCTGGCATGACT